TATATATATTATTCAATTTGTTCTCAATTTTCATCCTTAGAATATGATACAGTTAGACTAAAATGATGTATTTGGGAACCTAACCTAATTAATTTTGACAAAATACATCTTATCTAGGCTGTATCTTTACAATACATTTTCATTTAAACTTGACTAAGTAGTTTTCATGCCTCAATAAAAATAAATGCCTTCGTTCTTCACACAAAAATAAGTACAGTATATTAAATAAACTAAACTTAAAGACAACAAGACACTGAAAATGCCTGAACTGTTAAAATACAACTGTGAAAGCAGCACTCTGCTTTCGGTGAGCTGTCTAAACTTTGGCACAAATGATTCTCTTTTCATACAGAGTAACTATCAGTTTGTCAAGTGGCTAAAATAAACGAATATTACTGCATTTATTGTGAGCATGCATGCACTCACTCAGAAATGTGAAGAGGACAAATTAATGGATATTTCTCTGTCCACTTATCTTTGAAAACTTTTTTTTCTACATCTATCTTTCGTTCCTTCATACATTTGCGTAACTCCATTAGATTCAGTTTATGCCACTTAACTTGGATCTTCAGAGTTGTCATGGCCCAACAGTGGTTAGAGCTGTTGCTTCTTAGGGTGATGGTCACATGATCATTTCCCAGTCTTTCTGGGTGGAGTTGCATTTTCTGTTGGTGTAGTTTTCTCTAAGTACTCCGGTTTCCTCAGACAGACCAAACCCATGCATCTTACATTAACTGGTAACGCTAAATTGTCCTTAGGGGTAAGCAGTGCTTCTCCTAGGGAAGTGTTCTTGGAGGGAGTGGGGTTACACCAAAAAAAATCTTATGCACATGACTCTGCGTGTGTCAACATTGATGATGCAGAATATGAACTACATTTTTATTTATTTTTTTTTTCAAGTTTGGCATTTCATAAGAGGAGGATGTGGCAGAAATAGCTCTTGATGTGATCTAGTATCATTTCAATTAAAATTATRACATTACGTAAAATTTTTCGGGGTGGGGGGCCAGTCCTCATTGGCAGTGGGGTATCACCACCTTTGGATAATGGTAGGATAATGGTAAGAAAAACACTGGGATAAGTGTGAGAGGTTATTTCTCTTTATCTGTCTCTATATTATCCTGTGTTGGACTTGCAACATGTCCAAGATGTTCCTCGCCTCCCACGTAGTAAATATTAAAAATATAGACTCTACTGTACTTAATTTTTTTACTACATCTCCATTTGACTTTTMTTTTATTAAAATAAGAGGTTGGTGTAAATATCAGGTGTTTTTGTTAAACTGTCAGCTTTTGTTTTTTGAACAGACTTACACCAAGCAAAAATAAAGTAAAGTGAAACATCGTTCATGTAGGTGGACATTTTTTTTTAGCTTGACAGAAATAGAAACTCACCCCTTCACCAGTTCCACAACTATGAAGTCGCTCCCATCTCCAGAGTTGAAGAGCATCAGGCCATCAGGTGTGGTGGTTTTAAACTGAAAGAAGAGGTGCATCGAGGCGTAAGCCTGTAACGTGGCTAATGCTAAGTAGCTGCCTTTTGTTCGAAATGTCACCGGATCGGCGATGATGTGACGCATGCCAAAGCGGGCRTTCAGYTCGCAGTAAGAGATGTCCCCRTTCTTGCAYTGGTCGAGATACGGCACACTGTTAAAGGTCAGGCCCTGCAGATGACCAATGAAGTTTGAGGGAACCACTGAAATGAAGCGGCGCTCCGTCATGATGCCCGTCTCGATGTTGTGAAACTCTAGACGTGTATGGGCACCAGTCATCTGGCCTGGAACAGAAAATGATACAGATTATGTATTGTTTTTGCAGTAACTGGCATTTTTCTGCCTTTAGACTTGTGAGAAATCCTAAAACTAGAATTGAATTCATATGCTAGTTTAATTGTGTCTTTGTCTGAAAATCCCAACATAATTATAGAAACTCTATGGTCAATAAAACCAATTTTTAACCCATTTACCAATGAATAGTCCCTTAAATAAAATCATACTGATGGTTAATTTTATTGCGTTTATTATGTTTTTAGATTTGTTAAATGAATAATGTTTGCTTTGCAAATCTGCACACCTTCGGTGAATGATAGGTGTGTTTTATTGACCTGCTGTGAAACAAATTAAATGAGCACGATGCATTAAATTAAATTCAAAGGCTTTACACTCTACTAAATCAATTGTATTCAAGARGTGATGTGGCTGTATTAGCTTGGTAAAGTTTTGTTTAAGAGTGCCCTCCATGATAAAGCCCGGTCAGCCCTGGAAAGGCCCCTGAGGKTTTTTTTTTCTGTCTCCTCGTGAAGCCAGTTGGGACTTCACAGGGTCATTTCTTGCTTCTGGCCTCAGCRTGCCCACTCATTCTCCTTCATCTAACTCACATCTTTTTCTCACCTCTTTCTTGTGTTTTCGGCCCTGCCATTCTTCTGCCTGAAGCCACAATAACGTGAGTGCATGTGACTCCAGCTTGTCTCTTTGACCTTTCATCCTGCTCCTGCCATTGGCAGAACTTTTTTTCCCCTCTGCACTCGTTTCACAGCTGCTAACTCACAGGGTGATATGTGCATTGGAAAAAAAAGATGTGCTCGGTCTGAAATGCATATAATTTAGGCTTTCGGCTGTTCATGAGTCTGTATGGAATAGATGGGATTGCAGCTTGCTTGTATGTCATTAGCTGCTTTTTAAAAAATAGACATAATATGAGTCAGTGTGGGATGCATGAAAGGTTGCGGTTGCAGAAGGGTATTAATATTTATTCACTGAAGTGTAATGGAACACATTATTCTAACATTAGCAGCGTTCTGACATTTACTAAATATCACTTTTTTGGATCTGTAATTATTACTCTCAAATATCAGTTTCTTAACATTATAACTAAGTATGGCTAGCATAAATTAAGCACCACAAGACTAACAACACCCCAACCACCACCACCCCACATTAAMAATAAAGAAAAGAAAATGACTGGAAATCAGTGTTAATGCAGATTTCTTCATGTTTTGTTGAAATCTAGGAAAGCATATGTCTCAATTAGCCTACAAAAACAACAAAAAAATTTTCTATATGAGTTAATTGTTAAAAGTCCAAACACAGCAGCACGTGATTTCATTTGTATAKGATCTTGAGTGATTGAAAGATGTTTGACCTACGTGAGTTAAATCTTATTTGGGCTAATTTTATACGGTGCAAAAAGTCATAGACTTTTGCTAAGGAAACAGGATGTACAGGTACAGTGATGTGTCRTGCAAACAGAGACATGTAGTAGTGGCAAACATTAACACAAATGCAGTGGTTTATTTCCTCTCTTGTCCACTTTTGCTAATGTTTTAGGAGTAGGTTTGGGTGGTWTAATAGTATTTTGGTATACAGTGGTTTTAAAAATTTATGGTGACTGTATTTCRAAAATCTGAGAATAAATTAATCACAAGAGGTGATGCACCAAATTTCCACAAGGATGCTATGAAAACAGGGAATTTTAGGCTCTTTCAGAAGACACCCCATATTTTAACAGATGTGGGTTCTGACCACCTTCTTTCATTCAGMGGACAAACGGAGGTGGTGTGTGTGAGCGGGGAGAGGGTGGGCAGAGACACCCCGGCCTGTCATGCCCTTTAACCTCTGAGCAAAGTAGTGACAGACACGTTACTYGCTGACTCCTGAAAAAGTGGATTGGCATAGTACAAACTACAAACTTTATTGGCACAAAGACTGGCTAAAAGTACRCAACAGCGTGGATACAAATGTGGTAAGAGTCAGACAATTTTGAAATTTCAAAAAGACATACTTGGATGTATTTTTAACTGGTCAACATAATAAGGGGCAAAAGCCATACTGTGACCCCTCTCCTGCTGCTCTCAGATTGAGTGACAGTAACATGCCAGAGAAGCCAAAATTTTTTTGTTTTGTTTTGTTTTTTTTTTTCCACACGTCTCCTTGGCTCTAGAATTTCAAGCTATTTGCATGGAAATGCTTACAAGCATCTGTGTCTCTCAGTGTTCATTGCTTTGCAACTCTGCATATCTTCAATGAATGACGGGTATGTTTTATTGATCTGCAACATGCCATTGACTAACCCACCCCACCCCTCCCATGGTCCTGCCCTGGTAATACTATACAATACCACTGGTATAAAAATGAAAAATGATCAATACCGCCCAACCTAACTTAGGAGTGCAAGTGGAAATGCAGAGGCTTTAGACTTCGAAACAAAAAGACAAAATTTTAGTTTTACTTCAGTCCTGCATTTCAGCAAAAGGATGGGCTAACAGCAAAGCACTTTTCATCCCTGCAAAGAAAAATTAAAAGGTGACCTACTGGTGACATGCAGCAGAATTTGCTGGGTTAAGAGAATAGTACAGTCAACTTTGAAGTGGTTTTCTATGAAATAATTATCAGTAGTTAGTACTTACTAAACAATCATWGAACATGGAGTATGACAAAGAAGACAATGGCCTTAGTCCCGGTTAGACCAAGGATTATTTGTTAGCCAAACATAGTCCTGCTTTGTTATGTTTCAGGCGTATACTGTATAACAACTATAAAATACTGCATACAGTGTGAAAAAATGTATAGGTAACAGCAAACTTTTATAGTTTTGCTTGAAATCTTTTGTCTAGTTTGTTGGTCTTTACACAACCAAACAAAATCAKAGATACTACAAAAATGCATGTCTGTGCTGAGCATTGAWATGCCGATGGTACCAAGGCTGCTCAATGTATCAGGCTACCTGGAGTTCAGTAAATCTTTGACTGAGTAAACCAATAAAGTTTATCTGTTTGAACATTAAACATCATGTYTTTGTACTGTATTCAATTGARTRTAGGTTAAGAAGGATTTGATATTTGTTTTTTTATGTTTTACACAAAGTCCCAACTCATTGAAATTGGGGTTGTAGCTTTAGAGGGGTTTTGATTGAGAATTATGAATGGAAACCATTTTTCAACCTCAACATTAACAGAAACCAACATAACCCCWCTATGAGATTGGCAGAGTTAGAAAGGTTCACTACACTGAAGAGGAAGTATTTCTCAGATGTAAATTGGGTCAGGACAGACTGACCACATTACATGAGTGGTTTACTCTTTCTCAAAAACAACAGACATTAAAAGTCAGGAATCAACTTTTTTGCATCCAAGAATGAGCGTCTCTTCAAATATGGTATATACTGCTAACATACATCTCATTTTATTTAGCTTCGTAACATTTSCTATCATAGTGGTTATTACATTGCATTGACTTAACAATGGCGTCAAGAAGKTTGGTGTGATGTGTTGCAGAGCAGTTGTGATCGGTCTATTGCAATACTGACACATAAAGCACATATTACAGAACATTTGTGTGAAGCTTTCTTGCTACTTTTGTTGTTAGTGTCATTGTGGTTTCGGKTTTTTTTAAGTGTATTTATTGGATCTCACATGTAAATGTATTTTGTCATCAATCCATRTTCCCATACAGTACYCTGCATTTGACCCATCACACCTGAGAAGCACCCAAGTGGATCAGTGGGCAGCTATTTAAGCACCAGGGGAACAGTTGGGGGTTAGGTGGCTTGCTCAAGGGTAYGGCAGGGAGTTGCACCTGTGACTTTCTGGTCCCAAGTCGGCTGCCCTACCACTACACCACAGTTGCCCAACATGCAGTGTTTCCACTGTGAAAATAATCAATAGTATTTTTTATGGCAGYCCAACCAGCCATTGTTACCATCAGCTGCCCCTGATTATAACAAAGCAAACATCTCAAAACTCACCTTCCACTGTGACATTATCCACAGACAGCTGCAGATTCTTGCCTCTTCGCACCACTTTCACCATGTGCCACTCGTTGTCATTCAGCTTCTGGCCCGCGAACAGCGTCTCGGGTCCTTTACCTAAGAAGGAGAAAAATCAAATCACAAACAGCTGGTGGAAATAAYGCTTACACTCCACTGCAACACACAGTTCTCTCACAGTGGGTGACATACAGTTTACAAAACACATTCACAACATTTCCCCTCCATGCTTTTGATTGAAAGGACTTAAAGACCCAACCCGACAATCGGTAAAGTAAAATATTTTTCCTAAATCTTAAGAAGACAACTGAATCACCTTGAAAGGCAAATCACAAAAAAGTAGACAAGTGGAAATGATGAAAATACAACAAAGTGATGTTCTTTCGTAAAGCTTTTCAAAGTCTTAGTTCACCAAACAGAGAACTCTCTGAAAGTGCACCATAAGTGGAGGAGTTGATAGGCGAGACCAGACGGTTTAACTGCTCGTCCCTCAAACCAATCTCCTGCCTAATTCCCTCTTTCCACTTCTGTACTCTCATTCTCCTCCTTTGCTCTCTTCTTATGTGTCGACAATACCGCTGGAGAAACAGATCCATAAGGCAGCAGACGGTGGGGCAGAGATTCTTATCTGAGAAATATTTACATTATCAGGSAACAGGCTATTTATATTCTTCTTACTGCTGAAATTTGTTGCATCAGAAACAGAACAAACTGCAAGAATGGGAGAGTGACAATACCAGAAACATTAGATCAGATTTGACAGAAACAGCTGTCATGAAATCTTTATTCAGTGCTGAATAATGAGCTGAAGTGATTTCTGCTGAAGGTAAATGCAACAACTGGGGCTGGCAAAGAATTCTGCTGAAGTTKAATGATTTAAAATGTGTTATGCGGAATGGGTAAACATTGATTATGACACAGAAAGAAGCAGAAAAGTAATCACTCAAAACAAAAATTAAAAAATGACACGAAAGTTTAACATTATTGGGTATATACAGTATATGGTAAATGGTACTGAACTTATAGAGTGCTTTTCAAGTCCCTCCGGACCCCCAAAGCGC